CTGGCCAAAGTGGCCCCTGAGTAGCGCAACTTAGCTCTTCCACAGCATACTGGCCAAAGTGTTCCCTGAGTAGCCCAGAAAGTAGCTCTTCCACAGCACACTCACCAAAGTGGTCCCTGTTCACCAAAGTAATCCCTGAGTAGTTCAACGTAGCTCTTTGACAGCACACTCACAAAAGTAATCTCTGACTAGTTCAACTTAACTCTTCCACAGCACGCTCGCCAAAGTGATCCTTGTTCACCAAAGTAATCCCTGAGTAGTTCAACGTAGCCCTTCCACAGCACATGCACCAAAATGACCTCTAAGTATTGACACCACATTCACCAATCTGATCCCTGAGTAGCTAAACCTAGCTTTTCCACAGCAAATTCACAAACTGATTTGTAAGTAGCTCATCTTAGCTCTTCCACAGCAACCACAGTTCTTAGTAGCGCAACTTAGCTTCTCCACAGCACATTTACCAAAGTGATTCCAAGGTAGTTGTAGAGTTGCAATGTACTTATCAAGCCAACAAAAGCTGCGTTTTTCTCACCCGTAGGCCTGTCGGTTGTTAGGTTTTTAGAACTTCGGATTTCAGTACGCCCGGTCACCCAACTTAGCTCTTCTATAGCACACTCACGAAGTGGACTTAGCTTTTCCACAGCACACTCACCAAAGTGGTCGCTGAGTAGCTTAGCCCTTCCACAGCACACTCACCAAAGTAGTCCGCGAGTAGCCCCACTTAGATCTTCCACAGCACGTTGACCAAAGTAATCCTTGAGAAGCCCAAAGTAGCTTTTCCACAGCACGTTCACCAAAGGAATCCCTGACTAGCCCAACTTAGCTCTTCCACACCACACTCGCCAAAGTAATCCCTGAATAGCCCAACTTAGATCTTCCACAGCACGTTGACCAAAGTAATCCTTGAGAAGCCCAAAGTAGCTTTTTCACAGCATGTTCACCAAAGAGATCCCGGAGTAGCCCAAAGTAGCTCTTCCACAGCACGTTCCCCAAATTGATCCCTGAGTATTCAAGCTAGCTTTTCCACAGCACGTTCACCAAGGTGATCTCTGAGTAGCCCAAAGTGGCTCTTTCACAGCACGCTCGCCAAACTGATCCCTGTTCACCAAAGTAATCCCTGAGTAATTCAACGTAGCACTTCCACAGCACATTCACCAAAATGACCTCTGAGTATTCACACCACATTCACCAAACTGATCCCTGAGTAGCTAAACCTAGCTGCCTAGCTCTTCCACAGCACATTCACAAACTGATTTCTATATAAGTAGTTCAACTTAGCTTGTCCACAGCAACCACAGTTTTTTGTAGCGCAACTTAGCTTCTCCACAGCACATTTACCAAAGAGATCGCAGGATAGTTGTAGACTTGTAATGTACTTATCAAAGCAGTTTTTTCCCCACCCGTAGGACTGTGGGGCTGTTAGATTTTAAGAACTTTGGACTTCAATAGGCTCGCTACTTCTGCACATCCACCAGAGTGGTCCCAGCGTAGCTCAGAGCAACCCAAAGAACACAGCAGATCCACCAGAGTGGCCCACAGTGGCCCAGAGTAGCCCTTACACAGCACATCCACCAGAGTGGCCCCGAGAAGCCCAGCGTAGCCTTTACACCAGCACATTCACCAGAGTGCTCCCAAGTACCAGTTCCACAGCATATCCACCACAAGTTGACTTGGCAGGGATGTGGGGTTGCCAGGCATTAAAATATCGAAGTTCAGAAACCTCACAAGTAAGTATTCGATGTGTGGTTTTGTTTTCAATAAAGAATCCTTTTCGCGCCGAACCGCTTTTCTCTTGTGAAGACCAATTCTTTGAGGGTGGGGAATTTCGAAGTAAAGTAACTTAGTTGAATTTTTGCCAGAGCACCGCCATAAGTTGCGAAGTGCATAGATGCCTATTTAACCATCCAAGAATGGTTGCAAGACAACTGCAAGTAATTAGTGAACTCTTATTTTGTTATTTTCCTTTGCGAAGCCCTTCAAGCGCATGCCTTCCAAGGCAAAGGGTGCCGACTTCCGGACTGCCAACCTGCGCAGCGGCATTTGTTGAAGGGCAACGGTATCAAGAACGGTGCTAAACGTGTGCACAAGTTTTTTGCCGGCTGTTTGTGGTTGTTGGGTGCATCCGCTCCGGACAAATCCAGGACTCTGCATGAAATGATTGCGAAGGGCATCATCGAGCATTGTGACTCAGAAGCCCCAGGGTTGGCATGACCATCCCCCAACAGTGCCTTTGTGAAGCAGGCTCCCGCCCCCTCCACCATTCGAATTGGCTTGAACTGTCAAGTGCAGTGCACCTCGAGTTGTAGTCTTGACACCTGTGATGGCCGCAAGCATTCCTGCCGCTCTTTAATAGCAATGCTGGATTTATCTCGATTTGCTTGAAGGATGTTTCCCCTCAAAAGGGTGGCATGTTGTCACAAGATTGAGCATTACTGTAGATACCGATACCGTTTAAGAGCCTATCGTGTCAAGGCATACAAAACCTATGTTCCTTGTCTGTACTTTCTATCCCCTGCAGATGTTCGGCTCCTAGCATTCACACGAGTTGGGATTTGACCCGATTTCCGGTGTTCGCCTGGCATGGATTTGAAGCAGGAGTCTTTCTGTTCAGCGCTAGGGGCTGCGGTTTGCTAGAATCTATATATTTCAAGCTCACGGCGCGGACATGGCATGAGGGAGCTGGTAAATTTTTATGGTAGAGAACTTCACGTTTAATTTGGGGGATTTTCTCTGAGTAGGCCATGCCGGCCCATGTTTCTTTGCACACGTCAGGTTGGAGACGAGAGAGGAATGTTTCTGTTCGGCTCTGGGCCTGGACCTGAGAATCTGCACAGAACTCACCAGTGTGAGAGTGCCGGTGCAGCGTGCCTCTAAAAGGTCACCGGGGCATGCCAGCGAGGACCACGACGGGTGAGGTGTTGGAGGGAGCGAAGATCAGAGAAGAGGATGAAGAGGGAACACAGAAAAAATATATAAACTATATAAGTTAACTAATAGCTTCTTGTTACTACTAGTAAGGCACTTGTTACTACTAGTAAGGCACTTGTTACTACTAGCTTCTTGTTTCTTGGTAAGACGTGACAAGAAACTTCCAGGACTTGGCCCAGCAGATCGCAGAGAAAGATGAAGAGATCGAGGAGCTCAAGGACCCAGCCTGTGCAAACAACTTGTGGTTATCACCAAATCTTCTTCCGCAAAGGGACTATGGCATGTGCAGTACGAAATTGAGAAGACATCCTAAAAGTTGAGTTTGCCTCTCAGAGTGTTTGCCTGAAGGCCAAGATTGCGGCACTCCGTGATGCATTGGAGAGCCTTGGCCAACATTGTGGGGTTGGTGAAATGTTTAATTTGAGAAAATACGTTCGGATCCTAGTATGTCGTAAACTATTCAATGCAATGTGCCCTGAATGTTGTCAATTCCTGCAGCGTGTGCAGTTCTGCTTCCTTTCTTAAGGAAAGAGCCACACTTTGAGAACTTTGAGATGGCCATGGACGAGAAGAACAAGGCTTCAGCATGTTGGGAAGAAGAATAGGAGGTGTTCTCTTGATTTCAACTGTGTGGTTGGCTGTTGGTTCCAATGCGTGGCATTGCCGTCCTTTTCTGTGGAGGTTCTGGAAGAGCAGTTTGCCCGTGTGGAGGACTTTGTGTTTCTATAGAATAATGGTTTCTATATTTACTGTAGTAGCCTTATTCTGACGCCAGCTTGGTCCCACCTCGTTACTCACCCAATCAGCTTCCCCTTTTAGTCCAACGACACCTTCAAGACTCTTGATTAGGTTCATTTGACATCAGGAGCTCCAAAGAGAGAACGGCTTGCTGAAAGAGCGTTTGGAGAACCTTGTTGGCAGATCGGGCACGGTAACACGCATGCAGAAGCAGAATGATGGGTTAGAGCAGACAATGCAGATTTCCTTTTGAGGCACAGTGCGCCGGAAAGTGCTCCAGGGAAGGCACAGAAAGTGGCACAGAATTAATTCGAAATTATTTGCAATGTGCAGTGTGCAGTCATTTAACAATAAATTCATTCAATATGACTTGACTAAGTGACTATGCGCGTTTTGTTCTTTGCCAGTATGTTTCGTATGCGCTGAGAGGTGTTCTTCCACAGTGTGTGATAGTTTTAGTTGTAGGTTAGACGGTTAGACATAGATGCGGTGTGTGCAATAGCTTTCAAGCCCAAGGCATCAACCGAAGGCATCTCATTTTCATTTGCACGGAATGGGACGAGATGCTTGAAGAACTTGTGATCTTTTGCTGGGCAAGTTTCTGATAGGTTGGGCAACCAGAGCAGAGCGGGTCTCCTGCACAGGCCGGGTTGCTGGCAATTTTGGAAGATCCTAAAGATGATGTTGCGTAGAGGTGAGTTGAGTAGAGTTTTTGTTCGGAGGAAGCCAAGATAGCTAAAGGCCAACTAGGGCCTACAAATAGCCAATCAACAGATACACTAGCCTATGTGTTCCTACTTGATCCGACTTGATAAGCAATGTTTCGATAGTCGAGCTGCATGGGCCGTCACAGTAAGGCACAAGCTGAGTCTGCCCCGGAGACGGCGGCAGTGCTCTTAGTTTTCACACAGTCAGGAGCCACCGCGCCACAGTATTCTGACGTCATGATATTACACTCACATAACACATATGATGATTGTTATATTGTTATTGTTTATGATACTAATATATAAATATGGCTGCTTTACAGGCTCGTTGTTACAATTGAACTTGAAGAAAGAAGCTCCTACCAGGGGTTTGTGTGCGCGCTATGTTTAGCTAGCAAACTTTTCTCACTCGCGCTTCTAAGGCCTTGCAGGACCAGCTGGTGCTGGCAATGCAGGAGATTGAACAGCTACGGGCATCTTCCAATGTGGAGGCTCTTGTTTTGACATGGGAGTTGGCTTGAGAGTGCTTGAGGAAATTTCAGGCATCTTGCCTCACCAAGCGGGTCTTCTTGCGCACAGGATGCCAACAAAGTGCGCACGGAAAACATGGAGTTACGCGCTCGCTTGGCACATGCCATCTGCTGCACCACTGAGGCTCAGAAGCTAGGTCACATTTGATTGGATACCTTTTCACTTGCCTTGCCCTTGTGCTTCACATAGCCTGGTGTTGCGATGAAGTAGAGGTGTGCCAATGGAACAGACATGCTGGCCCTCAGCCAAGGAAAGCTGTGGCTGCACAAAGCGGGCATCCTACCGAGAGCGTTGAGGACAACAAAGACGCAGTCGCAACATTTAATGTGAGCATCGGATAGCATCGGATGGTGCGGGTGTGGTTTCCGAAGGAGTTTCACCTCCTCATTGAGAACAATGACTTGCCTGTCAAAATCTTGGTTGTGATTTTGAACATGACTATGATGGCTGACAATATCAGCTACGTAATCCAAGGTTGGTGCCATGCTGTGGGCCTAGTTTGCTTTTAGGAGTGTATCGTAAGTTCCACTGGTACAGTAAGTAAACTTTGCTTTGCAACGGTATGAATTGAGCTTGGGATGCAAAAAATAACAAGAGCCATTGGACTTAAAGAAGAGCAAAGACTGTCTTTCAAGCTCTTTGCAGTAACAAATTGGCAAACCTACCCAAAGCAAAGTTTCCATGTTTCAGCCTGGTTGATCCAATTGGAAGATCGAAGGTTCAGGCCGCGTGAAAGTCGTGAACTTGGCCGTGGCTGGCAGGTGCACTCTTGCATCATGGTCAGGAAGTGCGTGTCAACCCCTCTTTGCCAAAGTGGTTTGGTGTGCCCCTCTGACTGAGGGCCTTTCTGCAGATTGATGAATTTTTGCTAGGCATTAGGTCGTTTGTGAGATGCCGTGCCAATCTGGGTTCCCTCACCACCCTCGATCAGAGCTTCACACACGTGCCTCCTTTGCTTTGAAGATGTGGAGAGAGCAGACCTCTCAATCTAGCACCTCTCACTGCAAGGTGCTGCGGGTGCGTGAAAACACCTGGGCTGAACAGCAAGGTGTGCAGCCAGGGGACGAGCTCCATTGCGCCTCGGCCAAGCAATCTCATTCTGGACATCGCTTCAGTTGTAATTTGCATCTTGCAGCCATTTCCTGACGAACTAAGATATTGAGGGGCATCCGATCGAAGTGCTTCCGGAGGACTGGCCTGCGAACCTTTCATGTCATGTTGGCATTTCTTGATGTGAAAATGCCATGAAATTCCAGCCGTCAACATCACAGAAGGATGTCAGCCTGACAAAATTCTATAGCATTTTAACGCATTTTACTATCTAGACGATTTCCCAAATAGGACAGGATACTATTGTGGTGTTTATCACAAGTCGAGGCAAAAGCGGAAGGAAGAGGAATGAAAGCGGATGATGCGAGGAGATGCGAAAAGAGGGTGAAGATATATTGTCATGAGTGGGTGGGTGAGTGAGGGAGTGAGGGAGTGAGTGAGTGAGTGAGTGAGTGAGGGAGCGACGGAGTGAGGGAGCGACGGAGTGAGTGAGTGAGTGAGTGAGGGAGTGAGTGAGTGAGTGAGTGAGTGAAACGCAAGGGGAGGATGCCAGCCGACCACCCGACAGAACCTCCCATTCCTTAGGAGTGGAGAGAAGCAACACGTTTTTTGCGGGTAGGAGGTTCTGCTGATGTGCTGTGGTCAGCTGTGGTCTGTCTGCTGTGGTCAGCTCGCAATGGCTCGCAATCCCCTGATAGAAGTCCGAAAAACCTGGAGAGTGGCAAAGCGCAGGGGAATGAGTGAGGGAGTGTGAGCGAGGGAGTCTAAGTGGTACGTAAAGTGAGTTGAGTTGGCTTGAGATGAGCTGGTATGAGTTGAGTTGGTGAGTTGCATGCGTTTGTGAGAGGTAAGTTGGTGTGAGTTGAGTTGGCCTGAGGAAGGCAGGATGCACAGCAAAAGTCAGTAAGGGCCCCACACAAAGATGTCGGGAAAAGGCAAATCAAGCCTGCCAAGCACGAGTTGTCCACCATAGTTATTCTTAAGGTGATCCGCAAGTCAAAGAGAGAGGCATCACGCATTTTCATGCCGCTTGTTGTGTTAAGAGGCCGAAGTGATGGAGCTCTTGCAGCAGCGGCCAGTGAGGTTGACTTGGTATCGGCGTAAGGCAGGTCAGAGGAGGAGAGAGAGAGAGAGAGTCAGTTGGAGAGTTGGAGAGATGGAGAGAACAGAGAAATTGATGTGAGAAGTTGAGTGGGTGCATACTTGGAATGCATATGCACCTGAAGAGTGGAAAATTCAGGTTGTCTCGCGTGAGTGAGTCAGCGAAGGTCATGAAATCTTGTCGGCCAGGCACATCCAGCCATTTTGCAGTCGGAGGCGGCTTTCCAGGGTCAAGATGTTGCCAAAGAGGCAGCTCGTCATTAGAATTCCTGGAAAACCAAGTCATGGCCACATCAATTCATCCCTTGGTCAATTCATCGTAGGCAGTTTTATAGTTCAACTCCATGGCATATGCGGATAAATTGCGCGGAGTGAGGAAAACTAGAGAGAGAGAGAGAGAGGGAGAGAGATAGAGATAGCTTTAATCGAGGGGTGCCGCAAGGCCATGTTCACAAAACCAATGTTCGTTTGGAGTTCTGCGGAGGAGCCGGAAGCAGAAACTGCAGTGCCACTTGCCAAGGCCTGGTTGCTTGTTGCTCTCAGCCCGAGGTCTCACCTGAATTGTCAAGACTTACTGTCCTTATCTCCTCTGTGTGACTCTAAAGCCCGCTTGAGCTTAATGCAACGCATTTTTTATCATTTTTTCCATTGCATTTTTGCACTCTCAGTTCATGTCCTGCGCCATAGGCGGGGTATGTCTGGCAGACATACGACTGACCTAGCTCTTCATGCCAACTTATTTGGATTTATTTGGTATCATGTTTCTGAGCTGAGCTCAGTACGTCATTTTCGTACGCTTCCCTCATCTCAGCTTGCAGCTCACCCCAGCCAACACACCTCATTTTTGCGCACATGATCATTTCATCAGGTTTCATCATTCTCATTGCTGATCCGAGATGCAAAATCTGTACTTTCTCCGCTGCTGGCCTCAAGCAATTTTTCTCTTGTAACTTCCGGTGAAGGGTGTGAATCTGATTCCGACTTATTCCGACATGTTGTTTGCACCATTATGCGTGTTCACATATATATATATATATCTGTATATCTTAGTTATTTAGCTAATTGTAATTCATATATCTATTTATAGCATCGATAGGTTTCCTTAGGAAGGGAGCACAGGAGTCAATCCAACCACCTGCAGTGAACAAGTGGCCAGGTTGATTCTGAAGTGGATGAGCTGAAGGCGGCGCAAGCTAAGTCAAACGGTTTTGGGCCATCGGACGCCAGACAATCGGTTTTCTCTTGCATGCGCAGGAGAGCCACTGACACTGTAGCCTTTGAATGTGCTTACTGGCTCCTACACTTCTCGTTTGCTTTCCGACCTTCTTGGTCACACAACCATCCTGCCAAAATTGGCATGCGGGAAAACGTGTTCCAAGGGAGCGCGGTCGTGTTTGGCTCCAAAAAGTAGCAGAGAGATCACACACGGTCTGCATAAAACGCATTCTCAAGTCAAATCTGTGGGCCTGCTTCCAAGTGAAAGCTTAAATAAGATCATCGATAGGCCGATAGGTAAGGCCAGGCGATTGAAAGCCAAGAGCTGCTACTATTTGGGCATTATGTAGACATTACAGTAACACGACCTTGTATAAAGTTTACTCAAGTCTACTCATCAACGCCTTCGGTGTTGGAAACATGTCGATGTACAGCATCAGGGTGTTCAGCTTCTCCGGCGACATCTACCACGAAGTGATTCTCCCAGGATCTGCGCACGTGCGTGAAATTCTGTCTGGGACGGTCGCATCTGGGAATCCAAAGGTATGTGGCTGCTTTGGTTTTTCTATGCGCTTTGCGTTACTGTGAGTGATCCCGGATTCACTCCATCCAACCTCTTGTCATCTCATCTACCTACGACTTTGAGCTGAGGATGCCGGATTGCGTCGCCAGTTGGTGTATGATGGCCGAGTCTTACCAGATCATGCAGAACTCAGTCAAGTCTTCCCTGTCGCAGGAACATCAGGAGCAGAGTCCTGGCGGGATATGACTAGTCTTCCTGGGATGGGCCGTTGGAGATGAGTAAGTATGGTGCACTGAAGGTTCTGGGGGGTTTCAGATGGTTGTATAATTTCACTCACTTCGCCTCACCCACCCTTGCAGACAGCTTCCGAGGACTTGCAGCTTCTTATCCAGAAGCGCCGTCTTGAGCGTGTGAAGCGGTTTACGGACAATATGAATGCACGCACTTTGCAAATCTCGCTTGGTGGGCAGACTGGGCTTCTCGGCACAAAGTTTATCATGGTCTTAGAAGGGCTTGTAAGGGTGCACCGGGAAGCAACCTCCTCAGAGCTGTGGGAAACAGTGGAATTTGCGGTTTCAATGCTGAAATGAATTTGCAGGACGCCTGCAAATGACATTGTGAAGACTAGATAGGGTTGAACCTGTGGGGAATGCATTAGAACCGCATTGTAATTGTATATAATTGTATATTTAGACTAGTTGCAGTCATTGAATCCCTTGTTTCAAGATGCTTTATTGACATGACAGTAATTATATACTGCACATTGCTTTTTACATGTCCTTCAGTGACCCACGCGGCCTTAGGGTTGGAAAAACAAGCTTGGTGCGGCGCTATTGCTTTAACGAGTTTGAGGAGGGCACCAGACCGACAATGTTGTCTGTCATACCAAAGGACTTTGAAATCCAGAGAGTTTTGTCAGATGGCACAGGCATAAAGCTTCTTTTTTGGGATGAGCAGCTATTCTACCGCGCTCACTATGTTCCCAGATTTCGTCATGGCCTGCATGCTGTGATCCTGGTCTTCGATATCACCAACCGGCAATCTTTTGAGTCCCTTCATCAATGGATACAAGCTGCTGCTTGGGAGGGGAAGACCCGGACTATGGTGCTGATGGGAAATAAGACCGACCTTGATGCTCACAGGAAAGTTACATATCAGGAGGCCCAAGCCTTTGCACAAAGTGAAGGCCTCGTGTACTTTGAAGGTTCTGCTAAGCAAAATGTAGGGGTGGAGGAATTGGTCCACCATGTGGCTTTCGAAGCACTGGCAAGACTTGTCGCTGACGAGCCTCCAGTCCCTCCTGATGACAATTTAGAAGTCAAGACAAGTACTACCAGCTGCCAAGTGCTTTGAGGGTAATTTGCTGCGTTTGTTGTGACATGAACTTGTGAAGGCTTGGTTGAATTGATGAGCCAAAGTTTGCGACGCAGAATTGCAAAGGCTTTCGGTCCAAAGACGACCAGAGTTTCCCTGTATACGAGCTGAGCTTGCCGTATGCCACTGCTCCCCGTAGAATTGAACGTCGAGTAAATTGATCCCTGCTAGTACAGAGTACTCAGAGTCGAGCAGGAAGTCTTTGCTCCATGTTTGGCGTGTGACCACGTGTAACCTAATTCTAAACAAGGTTGCTCACTGGGGACTTTTTTGGCGATGGGCTCTGAGACAGCGGCCGATCACAAAGCAACAACAACCAGAAGGATAGTTCAGCTCAGTCGTTCCTTTGATACGAACACTGCCAGGCACAGAACCGCGCTTTGGAGGACAATGAATTGCAGCAAACTGACTTTGCTGTGGACCCAAATCTTGCAATTGAAACCCTCTAGGAACAAGGACGCTACTAGGAGAAAAGGAAGCTACTAGGGGCTCCTGGCCTTACTACTAGTAACAAGGACGCTACTATTTGTGGAAAGCAAGATGGGCGCATAGACGGCCACAGTACTGAATCCCATGCGGGGGAGCTATCCCGCAGAACATGTGTCGTGTGCCCGCTTTTATTTTTGCCTTGTTTGGTTCATTTTTCATTTCCCCTTGCTGTTCTTTGTTTAGGTAGTTTTTCTTTCATCCTCCTGTTTGCAGGAGCAGCTTTCAAGATTGTCCATTGAATTGGGAAAGGCTGGAAGAGTCCTGCCATTTGGCGTTGGAATTTGAGGCACACCATGTTGAGGAAGGCACTTAGAAAAAGGTAAGCCATCTGCAAGAGATGGAATCAATGCTTGAATTGCTTGGTTGCTTGTTTTATGTGGCCCAAGCTTTGGCTTACAACAGGCCAATTTTGGACACTGCGAAGCCATTTGGCCTAGAAAGAATGGACAAGCGTACCGTCGGCTGTTTGGGAGGAGGCCAGCTCGGCCGCATGATGGTCTATGCTGCACACCGCTTGGGTGTGCGGGTGTGTGTTTTAGACCCTTTGGGTGAGCAGAGCCCTGCTGGACAAGTGTCAGAGATGTCAGTGAAGGGTAGCTTTCAAGATGCGGAGAAGGTCCGAGAGTTGGCTAAGAAGTGCGACATTTTGACGTTAGAGGTCGAGCACGTCAACGCCGAGGTTCTGGAGGAACTTCATCAAAAGGGCGTCCCTGTGCAGCCTCTTCCCTTCGTTGTCAAGCTCATTCAGGACAAGTATGACCAAAAAGTACATTTGCAGAAGCATGGCATACCCTTGCCAGACTTTGTGAAAGTAGATGCAGAGGCCGAACTGCACACCATAGGCGAGAAGTTTGGATACCCCATGATGCTAAAGAGCCGCTTCGGGGCGTATGATGGCAAGGGGAATGCTGTGGTGGCAGATGCTGCAGGCATCCCAGCAGCCTGGGAAAAGCTTGGAGGCAAAGTTGGCAAGAAGCTTTATGTTGAAAAGTGGGCACCCTTCAAAATGGAACTGGCAGTGATGGTGGCCCGAGGGGTGGATGAGACCATGAATGTGACAATGCGCACCTATCCAGTGGTTCACACAGTTCAACGCGACAGTGTTTGCTTCACTTGTTTGACCCCTCCAGTCGGTGTGACCCAGAAACAGCAGGAACTTGCACAGAAGATCGCCACTGACGCCATCAAGAGCTTTGGTGATGCTCGTGGCATTTTTGGTGTTGAGATGTTTCTCTTGGAGGACGGGTCAGTGCTCCTCAACGAGATCGCCCCGCGACCGCACAATACTGGACACTATACCATGGAAGCCTGCGGCGTTGATCAGTTTGAACAACATCTCCGTGCTGTTTTAGGTTTGCCTTTGGGTGACTGTGAACTACGGGTGGGTGGAGCCATGATGGTGAACATTCTTGGACAAGGGAACACGCCAGAGATGGTGGCCAAGACCATGGCCCCCTTGCGCCGCGCCCTGAATGTGCCGGATGCTGGCATCCATTGGTATGGCAAGGATGGCTGCGTGAAGGGCCGAAAAATGGGTCATATCACTGTCACCGGTTTCACGCCGGCCAGTGCGCTGGAGAACATGCGGCCCGTGCTTGTAGCAGTGGATGGAGTCGATGCTTCAAGCATTGAAATTCCACACAAGAGCTCTCCGAGCGTGGGAATCATAATGGGCAGCGATAGTGATCTTCCAACCATGAAGGATGCTGCAGTAGTACTTGATGATTTCGGGATCCCATATGAGATCACCGTGGTTTCTGCCCACAGAACCCCTGAGTACATGTACGAGTATGCCACAACCGCAGAGGCACGAGGGATCAATGTCATCATTGCTGGGGCAGGCGGGGCTGCTCACCTGCCAGGTATGGTGGCAGCGTTGACGCCTTTGCCTGTGATTGGTGTGCCAGTGAAGTCATCAGCACTCTCCGGCAACGATTCGCTATTATCAATAGTGCAGATGCCCAAAGGAATTCCTGTGGCAACAGTCGCCATTGGCAATGCAGCCAATGCTGGTTTGCTGGCTGTACGAATTCTCGGCGCTGCAAACCCAGGCATGCGGCAGAAGATGGCACGCTTCATGGCTGATGAGTGTAGCACCGTTGAGAAAAAGAGGAGGAAATTGGAACAAGATGGTTGGAAGGCCTACCTCGCCAGCAGCAAGTAAATGATGGCGCTGGCCATCGTTGAAGGCAGTATGTCGTTTGAAACCACCCTGCTCCAAGACTTTCCTGTGTTGCCTTGTGGAACAACTTCCGCAGTGCATTCAGCACAATCCTGCTGCGTCCATGAAAAGCATGGCGCCCGCAGTGTCCAAAACTTTAGAAACTTTTGCCTGCTGCCGACCTGAGCAGCACGCGCAATCTTGCTTGCTCCAGTGTAACATATGCTACAGAGCACTTCTCAAGTATAGTCTACAGTATAGTGATCACGAGAACCCGGTTCCATGTTTGATTGGTTGCACTGGACCTCTAGACTTGTATCCTTTTGATCTTCAGCCAGCGGCGTTGCTTGCTGTTGTGGTGCCTCAAAAGGGCCGAACTTCAAATGTTAGCCTTTGTCACCTTTGTCCATTCATTTGCCGCTTTAGGGCCGGTGATTTTGGGATCAGAGTTCTGGATCTCAGGTTGGTATTGCATTATATTTTTGTTGTATTCTGTCTATATATATATGTGATTTCAGACGGATGCCTGTACGGAATCTTGCTTGTTGCCCCACCCGACCAGGAACAGTTCAACGCAGGCAGCAAAGACCCTCAAGAGATTTTGTCACTGGGCAGGCTAGAGGTGGAGAGACGTTGTACGGTTTGAGCCGTGTAGTGTTAGATGATCTTGAGGTTTTAGGTGAAGGGTTCCTTCACAGGCATATAGAATTACTGTAGTATATTTGGTTGAAGATGGCGGAAGCATGTGGAAGCTGAGGCAGTTGCAGGCGCAGCTGTCAGCTGCTGTCTCTCGCGTGGCAGAGTTGGAAGCTGAAGCTGCACAAGATGAACCTTTGGCACCAGAGGACAGCTTCTATATGAGGTACTCGAAGATATGTGAAGATTCAAGGATCTGGGACCTCTTAGCCTCTTTCTGGTTCCTGCTGCAGGTTCGCATACGTTGATCGATATAAACTTGATCGATATAAACACTAAGTGGCCGAGTTCTACACGCAGGGGGACATGGGGAGAGAGAGAGAGAGAGACAGAGCGGGCTCACCTAAGGGTATATCAGTTGTATGAGCGACCACCAATCCGTGCAATGACTAATTCAGCAAAGAGCGGTCGTGAATTTCAGATTTCAGGAATAGGAATACAAGCAATAGGCTTCCTAGCGATAACCTTGCTGAATCGCAGACCCATGCATCCATCCATCCATCCATCCCTCCGTCCGTCCGTCCATCCATCCAGACAGACATACCTACCTACCTACCTACCTACGTACGTACGTACGTACGTACGTACGTACGTACGTACGTACATACGTACATACGTACATACGTACATACATACTTGCATACTTGCATACTTGCATACTTGCATACTTACATACTTACATACTTACGTACATACATGGCTCAAGACATGAGTGCTCAAGTGGGCTGCCGGTGAAGTCCCGCTAGTGCTCATTTCCCCAAGCGAGCATAGCCTGAACTTTAGCACCAAGCAGGCGCAGGGAGACCCACGATTAGAGCACATTCTTTGCTCGTAATCAGCTCTACCTCTTGGACATTTCTGTGGCCCTTTGGCACCTGGCAGTGCTCGCCTGGCTATTTACTGGAGACCCTCAAGGTCACTGGAACTACCTCTTAGAACCTGACTCAGGCCAGTTCGAAGAGCGTGCCACCCACCTTGCCTTCTTGACCACCGGCTCGGGCACTAAGGTTCCGAACTATGATGCAGTCCAAGACCTCATCCTGGTGCAGGAACTACACAGTCTAGAGCCACAGTTCCTGCCGGAACTGGATATGGCAGGACAAGCTGCAACCAGGTACGAGATGTCGAAGGTGCGGAACCTGGTGGCCCAATGCCACAAAAGCCACGGGCAAAGGCAAGGGCCAAGGCCATGGAGGAACATCCAAGGGGACAGCACAGCCCACAACCTGGCCGAAGAAGACCTACCAGGAGGCCTTGCTGGACACTCCACCAGGCTTGCACAAGCCTAAGCCGCTGCGGCGCCCCAAAGATCATCAAGCAGCAGCTGAACTCCTCACGGCAACATGGGATGTTATCCCAGAAGGCATCCAGACCAAGTTGCAAGCCCTGGGACTAGGCCCACAGCAGCAAGAAGAGCCTGCCTTGACAGATCTTCTGAAGAACCACACGACGGCCCTTCCCAAAGAAGTCCAGGATGTGGTTACTCGACTGACTACGCCGATGCCACAGACCGAGAAAGACATAGCCCAGCAAGTCAAGCTGCAGGTTACGGAGCTGAAGAACCAGTCCATCAGAAAGACCAGTATGCCACCATGCTCCAAGACATGCAGGACATCCAAAATGAGGGCCAACAGAAACTCAAAGAGCTCTCGGACAAGTACATGACTGCTGTCAACCAGACACCCCATCCTGAGGCACTCAAGAAAGAGGCTTCAGAAGAGGCACCCATGGTGGACCATGACCTCATGCCAATGAAGACATACATACATACAGACAGACATGCATACATACAGACATGCATACACGCATACATGCATACATACATGCATAAATACATACACATACATACGTACGTACATACATACAGCCAGCCAGCCAGGCAGGCAGGCAGGCAGGCAGGCAGACAGACGCAGACAGACACACAGACGCACAGGCACACAGACACACATACATACATGCATGCATGCATACATACGTACATGCGTACATACATACATACATGCATACATACATACATACATACATACACGCATACATTGTGAATGGGGATGGGAGACCGAGGACCTGCAAAAATGGCATAGGCCGGAGACCCACTCCAGGATCCTCCATGGTGGAAGCTTGAGGGACAGCTCCTTGCTGGGGCCTGACAACAGAGACCGCCTAGCCAGCAAAGCCCATCGCCAGCACCTGGTCAGCGTTGTCCGTGGGCTCGATTCGACTGTCTATCGCCAGCAATTCAAGAAGCTTTGAAGGACAGTCACAAAATCTCCCTGGACACAAGCAGCCCTGCGCTATAGAGATGCCACAGCTATTAAGTCAAGCCCTCCGAATCTGCAAAGTGCCAGCCACCGCCAAGCGCATAGTGTGGCTCTGCAAATGGCATCACGGCCAGGGGCACCAACCCATGCCAATCGGATGGGCTGAGAGATTTACCAACCATGATGAGGAACCACTGTGGAGTGCAGGTTGGGGCCCTCTCTGGCCCAGCACAGGAATCACCCCCTTCACAGACATGGACGTTGCCCACATGCTTACCAAGGTTGGGCCTTCACTCTTGATGCCACACCCTCTACATGCGACACCAGAAGTCAGGTCTGGGTCTTTGGGCCCTGTGTCCACACACTCCAACTTGGACAACTCCAGTGGTTGGGCGCTATCGCCGGCGCCCTGCCGGGAGAGCAGTCCAGAGCATGGTCTTGGCACTCTCGCACAACACACCACCCAGCCCGTCTGGAAGCCTGGACCATTGAGCGCAAAATAAGAGGTTTCCTGGATCTGGCAGCCAACACCCTGTACGATCGCAACAAAGAGGTGTGGCAAAAAGACCTTGGATGATGACCGCACTGAGACCTACCAGCGCGCCACAGCACGCTTGGCCGCCATCTTTGCTCACCCGTATACAACCATGAGAAAGCACCTACGCGCCAAGGAAGGCAAACCAAGCAACACAAAAATTCAAAAAACAGCTCATCCGTAGGTGCACCAAAGCCTGGATGGAGGGCCGGCGCCGATGGATTCCCCACAGGAGCGGGTTCCAATGTGTGAGCACGATGGACATCCTAGTCACCGGCTGTGGCAGAAGGGCAGTCGGCTTCACTGTAGTTCCAGTGGCACTCAAGCTCATCTTGACCGAGAATCCAAAGTGATCATCACAACGTCCCTCAAGAAGGAGTGCAAGGGTGCTGCTACGCGAGGCTCCTCGCGCATCCAGGAGATGGTCAGGAAGCGCCCACTGACTGGGACACCAGGATAACGGCTCTTCTCTGACAAATAGAGCTGAGCCGACCATCGCCGGCGCACCATCGTGGCAACCACAGAGCTGTCCATTTTACCTCTGAGGCTTTCTCTGAGGGCAGAGTGCCTAGACGACTGGCCAAGGGGCCACTGAAACACAAGCGACCGAAAGACACCCCTTTAGGGAAAAATACATACATACATACATACATACATACATACATACATACATACATA